CAACCCAATACTTCAAGTCTTTAATCCATTTTGAGTTCATTTTTGTGTATGGCACACGATAATGGAGAAGTTTCATTCTTTTGCATGTTGCTGTCTAGTTTTTCCAACACCATTTATTGAAGAGGTGGTTCTTTTCCCACTGTATACTCTTGGTTCCATTACCATAAATTAATCAAACATATACATGTGGTTTTATTTCTGGGCTCTCTATTGTATATTTATGTGGTGGGTTTTATGCCAATAAAATGCTGTTCGAATTACTATAGATTTATAATACAGTTTTAAATCAAGGAGTGTGATGCCTCCAGCTCTGTTCTTTTTTCTCGAGCTTGCTTTGGCTATTAGGGATCTTCTGTGGTTCCATGCAAATTTTAGGATTGTTCTATTTCTGTGAAAAATGCCATTGGAGTTTTGACAGGGAGTGCACTGAATCCGTAGACTGCTTTAGGTAGGATGCGCATTTAACAATATTAATTTTTCCAGTCCATGAGCATAGAATCTTTCCATTTATTTGTCTTCTTAAACTTTTTCATTAATGTCTTATAATTTTCAATATACAGATCTTTCATCTCCTTTGTTAAATTTAATCCTAGGTATTTTATTCTTTTTGATGCAACTGTAAGTGAAATTGTTTTCTTAATTTCTCTGATAGTTTCTCATTAGTATATAGAAAGGCAACGTATTTTTGTGTACTGATTTTGTATCCTGCAAATTTACTAATTTTTTTTTATTAGTTGTAACAGTTTATTTTGTGGAGTCTTTAGGGTTCTCTATATATAGTATCATGCCAACTTCAATAGTGATAATTTTACTTCTTCCTTTCCAATTTGTATGTCTTTTATTTCTTTTTCTTGCCTAACTGCTCTGGTTAGGACTTCCAAAACTATGTTGAATAAAAGTGACAAGAGTGGGTATCCTTGTCTTCTCGTTGAAGTTAGAGAAAAGGTTTTCAGCTTTTAACCTCTGAATTTGATGTTAGCTGTGGGCTTTTCATACATGGCCTTTATTATATGGAGGTGCAGTTCCTCTATACCTATTTCATTGAGAGTTTTTACCATAAATGGATGTTGAATTTTGTCAAATGATTTTTCTACATCTATGGAGGTAATCATATGATTTTCATCCTTCATTTTTGTTAATGTGGTATATCATGTTGACTGATTTGCAGATGTCAATCCATCCTTGCATCCCTGGAATAAATCTCACTTGATCATGGTGTAGGATCCTTTTAATATATTATTGAATTCAGTTTGCTAATATTTTGTTGAGGATTTTTACATCTATGTTTATCAGGGATATTAGCCTGTAATTTTCCTTTTTTATGGTGTCTTTGACTGGTTTTGGTATCAGCTTAATAATGGCTCCATAAAATGAATTTGGAAGTGTTCTTTCCTGTTCTACTTTTTGGTAGAGTTTGAGAAGCTCTTGTATTAACTTTGTTGAACGTTTGGTTGAATTCACCAGTGAAACAGTCTGGTTCTGGACTTTTGTTTGTAGAGAGTTTTGAAATTACTGACTCAATCTCCTTACTAGTAATTGGTCTCTTCAGGTTTTCTATTTCTTCATGATTCAGTTGTGGAAAGTTGTGTTTCTAGGAATTTATCCATTTCTTCTGGCTTGTCCAATTTGTGGACGTTGAATTGTTCACAGTAGTCTTTTATACTCCTTTGTATTTTTGTGGCATCAGTTGTAACATCTCTTTCATTTCTAATTGTACTTATTTAAGCCCTTTGTCTTTTTTCTTGGTGAGTCTAGCTAAATATTTGTTAGCTTTATTTTTTTTAAAGAACCAGCTCTTTGTTACACTGACATGTATATGTCATTATATCTCCCAAATTCAGTGAGCATCTTTGTGACCATTACTTTGAACCCTTTATCAGGTAAATTACTTATCTCTGTTTAAAGGTAATTTCATGAGGTTTTATCTTATTCTTTCATTTGGAGCATATTCTTCATATTTTTTTACTTCTCATTTTGCTTAACACTCTGTTGGTTTCTATACAGTAGATGAAACAACCACCTCACTCTGTCTTGAAGGAGTGATCTCATGTAGGAGGTGAACCTTGTCATTCAACCCACCCCAGCTCTTGATTGTCCCTCAAACCTTTGTGCTTGTCCAAGCAGCTATTATATTTTTAATAGCTGCTAGTAGATAAGGATGCTCCAAACCTGTCAATGTTCCAAAGGGGAGGATATCAGTACCTAGATTCAGGCTGACTGGAAGCCAGACCTTCATGCAGCAGCTTTCAAGAGTATGCAAATATACACTGTCCTGTGGGACCACAAGCCCAAGCCCTACTGGCCACCAGAGACAGGTAATCTGGAGGTGTCCCCTATGCAGCAGTTGCAAAAATCAGGGCTCCAGACAAGTGAACAAGCTCTTTCCTGGGAGATTCCAATGAGCTGGGGCAAGGCAGTGGAAGAGCACCAAGATGGTGTACATAGCCTATGTTCCTTGAGAGCAGCTTGGTAGGCCACTGGATGTGTGATAAACCTGAAGCCTGCCCTTCAGGCCAAAGCTCCAGAAGCAAAGAAAAATGTCTATTCATATCCTCTGCCCATTTTTTAGTTAGATCCTTTATTCCAATTTTCAACCTGATCCCAAATTGTGGTCTATTATAGAACAGCCAAACTGGCAAGTCTAAATAAAAATAAACAAAAAAAGTCTAAAAACAAATAAACAAACAAACCAAAAAAACCAAAACAAATAAACTAGTCCAAAATTTTTATGAATACAGACAAATGGGAACACAAACACTAGCATGTTGGAGTTTAGCACACTGGTATTGAAGGGAAGGAGAATGTTAGTGACTTGTGACAAAGTTCAGTACAAAGAGTATTAATAATACAATTTCAGTAGGTATAAACAACTAAAGTTGTGTTTCTTAACCACAATAGAAATTAGCTTTGTCTAAACATATTTTATAGGCACAAAAGATTTAAGTTAAACTAAGCAGCTAATGGTAGCTTGAATTATTTCTCCTGCACTAAGTGAATTTATAAAGGTAACTTTCAAGTACCTTTAAAAAGGTCTTTTCTTTATTAATAATAATTTAGTTATAGACATAGATGAAGACTTGTGTTTCATTCAGCTAAACAACAAAAAGAACACCTGAAATCCCTTAGACAATTTTGAACAAATTAATATTTTTTTCTTAGTTATTTCTTTCTATTTTAATTCTGCTAGACTACAAGTTTCCTAAATTCTGGGTCTCCAGGTTGCTCAAGTCCAAAGGGCATTATGGTGTATGTGAATGGCATGTGTAGCACACCAGTTACCAGCTGTGATAGCTATACATATATCTTGCAGCAGGCAAGTTTTGATTTTGGCTCTGTGCTAAATCTGGTAATCTTTATATAACATAGGTAGTATTGCTTAGCCTCAGAAGATGAGTGGATCATCACAGCTTGTGAGAACTAATTCTGGATTCATTCCATCAATTTTTTGTGATTTTTAGCAGCATATAACTTGGATTTTCAAAGCTTTATTCCCACTTAGTATGCATTAATGCACATTCTTTATTTCTGTTTTGTTTAGTTTGTGAGACAAGTGCCCAAGGGAGATAAATATCAAAAGTTGCGTTTTTTTCCATGCCTTCTTGATCATTGTTAATTATTAACTCATCAATAAGTTTACAGAATATATTTAGTTACAAATTGTAGCTGTCCTTCACAAACCTTGAAAGTATACGATTTAAGGGCTGTGATTTTATGAAATAAAAATGATAAATCAAGAGAAAATGTCCAATTTATTACTTATTCATGTATGTGATTATCACATTGGTTGAGTTAGATACACTGCTGGTGATACATGTGTGGTACTACACACCAAGCAATGCATATCAAGGAAAGAGACACTGCCAAATTCTTTGGAACAGATAACATTTCAAAGCAACTAGAATCCATACATTGTGCAGGAATATGATTAACGTGGTGACCACCAATTCGTCAGAAACCTCTCACTGATTTAAATAGAACTACATTCTAGGGACGTGATTAAACTCAGGTAAAAGTGAAACAACTCTGTAAAGTAATAAAGCATCAGCATCCACTTGCAGAACAGGTATCTGGTGTCCATAGCTTGAAGGTAAATCCAGGCATCAGTGTGGTGGTGGCACTTGTAGAATATGCAGCTTTATCAATACCTTTGATAGCACAGAAAATGGTACTAGATGGTATTAGAAGATAGCACACGGATATCAACCACTCTTGAGTTGAAAACTGCTTTAGAAAAGTTTGACTCTAGATGTGAAGCTTCAGAAAAGTCTTGACTGTATCTTAATATTTCACTTTTTTGTTCCTCTACATGTACTTGCAAAAGGGTTAAATGACATAAATCTATATTTAAGTGCTTTTAAAAAAGATTTCCAATAAATAAAAACTTCAAGTAACAAGAAAAGCATTGCATATTTTATTGGTAGTGTTTTCTCTTTTTCAGTGGAACATAAAATAATGGTGATTCTTAATAACTGATGACACCTTAGATTAATTAGATTAGAAATACAGCATTGAACTTTTAATGAGTGACAAACACATAACATCCTCTGAAATCTCTGCAAGTAAATCAGTAAATGCTAAGCAATGGCTACCATATATCTTTATTTACTCCTTGGGAAGAAACTTGAAAAAAATATACATAAATATCATAACTGAGGGTTGCTGATAAGTCATATAGATTTTTATCATCAATTTCAGAATGGTTTATATCTATTAATACTTATTTATTAATTAAGACTATCACAATATTTTAAGCATTCATTTAATTTGACTCTGTTAGCCATGGATTTGTTTCTGGAAAAGTACTTCTACAGTATTCCTACAGTGCTTTGAAGACCCTACAGTATGACATTTTTATTAGTTCATCAGAATAGGTCTAATGCACTTGAGGAGAGAACTGCCAATGAACACACAGAACTTCACTGGAACTGAAGCCCAAAATAAGATGAAAAAATTCTAAAGGTATATTTAGAAAATTACCTTTAAAACAATTATAGTATTTTGTGAACAAAATAATGTTCCACAAGTCCATCTTTATAAAAGAAAAATTTAAATAGTGATAAATATTTTAAAAAATCAATTTTCTGAACTTACATCCTTAAGCTATTCTTTCATCTAAAAATGGTTTATTTATACTTTTGTTATTAATTTTATGCTACAGCAAGCATGTTAATATAATTTTCATTAATTCACTTCAATTAAAAAACAAGCCTACAGAAAATTCCTGCATCTACAATCTTGATCAAGAAAGGCAGAGTATACAATATTTAAGATGTCTCTAAATCAGACTGTTTTCTATTCAAAGTAATTTCTAGAAAAATTTGCTCCCTATAAGTTATCATGTCTTCCACATCTTTGTAGAAAAGCATTTCTTCAATGGACAACAGCTTATATTTATTCAGGCTGAATGCTGACTTGTTCTGTACAGCATTTAACATCTTTAGGGATGTTGTAACTGAATCACTCAAAGAAGAACAAACTGGGAAAATACGAGCATTCCACAAACTCAAACATGTCTTGTTTCCAGAGAACAGCTCCTCTGTAACTTTGAGATTCCAAATGTCTAAGCATGACAGGAAACAGACTCCAAAGAATTGAAGTAACTTTATATCTGACAATGTTTTAACATTCTTTTTCAAGTTGTCTTGCACTCCACATGCCATAGTTGAATACTTTAAGTGTCTATTCATCTTCAAGCTTAAGGAACACACAAAAGAATGTGCAGACAGGACGGCAGTTGTTATGATATAAGAACCACTAATAATGCAATTTTCCCCCACTGAAACATCAGGCCCCAATCTGGAATACTCTACAACTGAGCCAGGTGCCACAGAACTTCTTGAATCCAATATACTCTGAATGATACAGGATTTGTTGCTAGAGCATTCTGGTATTGCTGGAAAGATGCTAAAAGCTATGGACTGTAAGCCAAGCTCTGACTTCAAATTGCTATCAGAAGTAAAATGAAACAAATATTCTTCAGTTGTTCCGATGTGATAAAATTTGGAGTTATTAAGAACAACAACATTTAGTGATGTTCCTCTAAGAAGATGAAATATTCTTTGCCTCATGTCTACCAGCTCTGACTCTTCTTTAGTAACATTTGATGTGTTTCTGGTATATTCCACAGTTGCTCCAGGTCCCAAAGCCTGCAGAAAGTCTCCATAGGCATCTATTTCACAGTTCAGTGTACCTATTTTTTCATAAAAAGCAAGTAACTTTTTCGCTGTTTTATGATCCATGTAAAATAGGCTGTCTGTGTAGACATACTCAGGGTCTAATTTAAGAGAGGGTATGTCACCCCCAGCAAAGTTTTGTTGAAAAAAATTTCTAGGTCTACACACAGCATCAAACTGATACATCTTTTCTATGCTGGGCTTATGAAGGAAACGATGGCAACTTCTGTACTCGAGGTCTCTATGTTCTAAAGAGTTAAAAGGTTCTAAGACAAATACTCCATGTGTTGTACCTACAGTCAAACTAGAAGGATGAGCTAAAGCAGTAAAGCCAGGTTTGTCAAACCTAATATACTCAGATTCTCCAGTAGTATAAAGTTCAATATCATCTGCACAGGTAACCAGAATCCCAGGATTCATATGTGAGGGGAAATCAATGTACATGGCTAGTTTTAATTCCAACATCTGATAAATGGGGCTACCAAAAGGTAAAGCAGTGAAAATTTTCCCCAGAGCACTTGCATTTGGAAGGCGTTGACTGTAGCCACCTATATAAAATTAAACAAAATAACTGTTTTAAAATGTTTATAAGATTTAAAAACCCAGGAGCATCAGTTACAACTCAAAATATCTCTAAAGATATTTAAAATATACAATATATTACTGTATCCCAGGAAAGAATAATAAATTCCAGATTATAAATTCACAGAGCAATTCTGTAGAGATTTGCTATAATGCAGTTCTAGATTAGGAAAGAACTGTAATATGCTTTACAGACTATGAATTGTTTTAACTCAACTGGATAACAAGTAAAAAGGACAATGAGCTAAAATATGACCTTATATCTACATTTCACACAATAAATTTCAACCATGTTTAAACACCTACATTAAAAATCCACTTCATGGGGAAAAATGTCATAAAAAACTAATATACATAATTATCCATTAAAGAGTAATTTCCAGATGGAATGTGTTTCCTCACTTAAAGGAAGTAAAGATGCATTTCTTTAAAAGCATTTTACAATGTATATTTGTTTTTAATTTTAAAAGGTTTTTCCCTCTAAGATGAGCCTTATGACTTAATTCCTTGAAAAGTGTGTTCGCTTAAGTACATTAAATAGCTTACATCATTTTTACGTAACTAATTATAGTGACAGGCATAGTAGAAAAAGTCACACAAAAATGCGTTCAAATTCTGGTTCACCACTTTTTAATTGTTTATCTTTGGACTTAACACTAAATCAGCAGATGTAAATACTTGCTTTATCATGTTTTATGAGATCAACAATACATGTAAAGCACTTACTACACAGTACATCATTCAACCAATGAGAGCTAATACTTTCTTTTGCATTTTCCAAATACTAACCAACAGTAAAGTTCAGCATTGTAAGAATTACCTACTTTTAATTACACTTGAACAATAAGGGTTTGAACTCTACCAGTCCACTTATATGAGGATTTTTTTCAATAAATACTGTAAGACTATATGACCCGACATTGGTTGAATCCCTGATGAGAAACTGTGGCTATGGAGAGTGGAACTGCCTATACAGAAGACCAACTATGAAGTTACATGCAGATTTTAGACTGTGTGAGGGTCAGCACCACTCACAGATCAATGCATTATTATATATTTTCAAGGATCAATTGTATTAATATATATTTTCTGGTGTCTAACTTAATTTTTACTAAATTAGTAATAATAATACTCGTTCTGGAATAAAACTGTAAATTTGAATTTTTCTTTTACTTTTTCAGTTAGTTTTAAAATCAGAACTTGGATGCTTTAATTGATATCATCTTTAAAAAGAATCACTGTTCCGTACATGAATCCTAAAAAATGAAAAGTGCCTTGGTAACCATGTAGATGAGTGGCTCTAAAATATCTGTTCCTGAACTGGTACAAGTCCATGACAAAGTTTCACCAGCCTTCAGTACACAGAGGAAAAATAACAGAGGTTTCTTTCATATAACCCAAATTTTCATACAACCAAATCTGTCCACTTTAAAAAATTATATTCTGAGATTACTTCTTTCCTACCCTTCTGTTCCTTTTTTTGGTGTGTGATTTTCCCTCTTTTATACTTTCTTGTCAACTCCATGTTCTGTCACCACCTTTTCTTTTTGTTTTTAAACTCCTAAGGATTATGGACTTTGGCCACCAATAACTAGATAAAAATGTGTTAACAGGTTTTGTGTAAAGTCTGGTAATCACAGTACTAAACCAGCCTCTCCCCTGCAGCAAGAATCCTTTCTAAAGCATTGTCAAGAAATGTTCATATTTTGATGAGTTCTATCTTAGAAAAATAATTTTTGATATGTATACCAAAAACAATACATGAAAAGTTGAGGATGTATGTGATCTACAATTTTAAGGTTAAATTTTGTGAAAAATATTATGCTACTTACAACCTAAAAATATCAAGGAAAGCATAAAATATTTGTTTCCAAAGCAGTATAACTTCAAAGACAAAAGAAAAAAAAAAGAGGGGATAATATTAGTAAGGGAGAAAAAAGCCCCTTAGATATAAAAGGTAATATACTAAAAGAAAACGTAAATTAGTAAAGTGTAACATTACCAGAGTGAATTAATAGGATGGTAAAAGAATTCCATTCATCTCCATAAAGCTTTTCCAAACATCGAAGGGCACAAAGTGTCGATCCTCCATTTCCTTGAAAATAAAGTTAAAAAGCTCAATTTATTTCACAGAAAGTTACAAAAACTTTGTTATTACAGTAAATTTAAGTGTTATAACTTTGAGGATATGACCTTTGGCTACAATTAACCAGGCAGAGAGCAAAGGTATAGGCAGAACAATCAAATTAAATACACATTTCTTAGCAATTAAATAATTAGTAATAAAACCCAGAGATGAGCCCTTGGTAATAAAAGTTGAGTTAATCTTCTCCTGAAAATAGTAGTATAAAGAAAGAAATGATAAATTAAGCAATCTGCAACACTATAAGACTGTAAGTTTACACATTCACTTGGAGTTATGAACTGTAAAACCCATTAAAATAATTCTCCCATATGAGCATATATATGTGTTAGATTTACTTTCTAAAAAGTTTTATAGAACCTGTTTTCCTAAAAAACATCTTAAATGTAACTTCCACTTACTAGTTACTATGGGCAAGTTATTTAACATTTTGTGCCTGAATCTCATTCAAACATGGGAATCAGAAAAGTACTGACCACATATTTATGAGGATTAAAACACTGGCTAATTAGGACATGCTAGTATCAGATACAGATACCATAACTCTGGTATCAGTGAGCTTCAGTATCACAAGTATCACATGGAAAATGACCCCCAAGAAAATAGCATGTATTTTTATTTGCAAGGTAAGGTCAAAAGGCAAAGTGGACAAACTGGTTTTTAAAAGTAAACATCTATGCTAATTATGCCATTAGACTGTGCTCTTTCGCATTCTGCATTGTGGTCCCAAGAGGCCAAATATTTATTTTTCCTGATTTTATCTCTTCATGTAAGTTTCTGAACAAATTGTGTAGTTCAGAGGGACCTTAAGAGCCCTACTGATAAGGTCCAAAAGAATATTCACCATCTGAGTAAATTTTATTAAGACTAATAAAATTCTCTTTTAAGTAACATAACATTCTGGAAGTTTTTCATGGTAAGTCCACAATGTGTAAAAACAGTTGCCATGCCTTTTATCTTTCTTAAAAAATAGTGAACTTACATAAAAATTTTAAAGTTTGTAAAGACTATAGGTGGTAAGACACACAGTATAAACTGTAAGCCACAGGAAAGCTTTTCTTCAGTGATTATTCTGCCCACAATTTATGATATAAATCTGACCATAAATGTGTACCAATTTTGGCTCCAGCAGGATCAACAAAAACATGATATTGAACTCCAAGAGGTAACTCCTTTTTTTTCAGCTTTTCTGACAGCTGTTGCTTATATGCAAGTTCCTGTTTATCATCAGCTGCTGTTATTGCAACAATGTCCCAGAATTCTCCAGCTGCCACAGGTTTGCCTATGTGTAAGAAGAAAGTGATAAATATTATCAGAATTCTCTAGCTGTTACAGGTTTACCTATTTGGAAAGAAGGAAAAAAGAGGTAATAGTATCTTCAAAAATGTATCTTCTGCTTTTGAGAATTAGGGAATAATGAGTGGTCAGCTAGTAGGATTCAAAATAGTTCTCATGAGGATTGTTCACAAATTCTACTTTTTTTTTCCTTTTAGATTACTTGCTCCTTTTATGGTCTACAGTCCCATTTATTTAGATTTTCTGAGAGTTGTAATGTTTCTTGATTAAGAGAAGTACTTTCGACTTGCTAAAGATGAGCTCAATTCTTAAATAAAGAGAGGAGACAAAGGAATAAGTTAATCTCCAGTTTTGAAAATCAGTTTTCACATACAGGGACCACTTAATGTTTGTTGGCTAAGAAAGATTAAATCCAAGGACCCATTGCTACAATGTTGGTGTTCATAAATGTGGGCACTTTACTTTTTAATCGCCTTAAAATGAGCCATGCAAGTTTACAAAGGTTACTGGAGAATGACACCAAATTCTGGATAACAGAAAAGTTCCCAGCTCCCTGATGAACTCAATAAGAGACTGAACTTTTGGCTGACAGTTGGAAGCTCTTCTTTATTGATAAACAAGACAAATAGGGTTTTTATTAGTTAACAAATTCTAGTCAGCTAGAATCTAATAGTCCTGAACATCTTACTGTAATCCAAGTATTACTTTCTGTATTTTTAAAGCAGTAACGTCAACAAAAATATGACCAATTAGATAGTTGTACAGGAAATGACAAGTGGCATAGTCCTTTAAAAAAAATTTTGATACAAAGTTACCCCGTTTAATTTTTAATCCATAATTCCACCGTGTTGTTTCGCTTTTCACTTAGTAAGCGTTCACATCATGGAACAAATTGAAGTAGGTAGGGAGTGGAAGAAAGCTAAAATCGGATTTGTAAGAGTCAAATCACTATGCTTTAGATCTTTTAGGTTTATTTAAAATAATTTTTGCTAATGAGCTAATCAAACGAATAACTTGGATTTATAGCTTCACTATAGTCAGGCTAATAGCTGTCTTCTCATTCCTCCTCATATATATATGTATATATATATATATACGCAACTGGGAATAAACTTAAAGAAAGCAACAAGCATGACGTAAAGAAAGGAGAGTGAGAGAAGAATAAAAAAACTCAAGAGGTACATTAACTGCGCCTGGGCCAGCGTCCTAGGCCCGCAAGTGATTAGTAAAAGGAAGTGGTACTCCAGCAAATACCCCAGCACGTAAAGCGCCCTCCCTGTCCATTGCCGGGGAGAGCCAGGGTTCCTCCTTTGGTACCTCTAAGCTCTGAAAACCTCCGCAACCTTCGCTGGGTGGCTTCTCGCAAAGATACGCCTGTAAGGGCACTCGTAGCTGCCATAGCTCACTTTCCCCAACACCGCCAAGGACTTCCAGCGATCCCACAGCCCAGGACCGCACGCATGCGCCCTGGGACGTAACCCGTTCTTTGGTCCGGTTTCGCCTCTGTCCCGCCCCCTACGTGCGTCACTCACGTAACTACGCCCCCGAAGCTCTTTGGCTTGCCTAAGGAAAACCACGGCGGTGTGAGCCCGGGGCTTTGCTCCGTTTCCCTGGCAACGGCCTCCGGAACGGATAAATGGCCACCTAGTGATTTGTCGGACTGTGCCGGGTCTGGGCCGCTTGTTACCAACTCATAAAGCCTTGCAGCTCGGTAGACCCGGTGAGTGGTCCTGCTTGGGCGGCGAAATTTCGAGAACTGACCCGCTTAAGGAGAAGTCCAAACTACAACTTAGCTTCTAGCTTTCTCTCAAAGGTCATTCGTCCTTTCTAACTCGTGGTTTTAGCCAGGGGCAGTTCCCAAGGACCTCTTGAGAGTTAATTCCTCCCCTTGGGTCGTCGTCTGAAGCCATCTGCCCCAACCCCAGGTCCAGATACATACATAGTCTGAACTTTTAAAATCTGTACTCTCTTCAGGAAGCTTTGTGGGTTCTTTAACCTTGCAGTTACTAGAGAGTGAGCCTCTCCACACCTCTCAGTTTTGAGATCACTTAAGAGGCTTTTGGAAGTTGTATAAAATTCTGCAATGAGGCCCTTAATGTTTGGGGCTTTTTGGCTGTTTCTCTGGCAACCTTTTGTGTATGCAGATTAATCTAGAACTTTCAATAGCATTCCTGGGAATAAGTTGGCCTTAGTGGATGTGTTTTTGGTAGGTATCGATAGATAAGTTTCTTCTCTTGTAAAACACCAAGTTTATGATGACTTTTACAGATTCTTCTATTTATCTTTACAGGTGAGAAAGCTATGAATGAGAGAGAATGGTGACTTAGTCAGGCTCTCACAATTAGTTAAGTAGTAGAGAGAAGATTTAAACAAGATATTTCAATCCCAAACTCCGACATCATTCTACCGCACCATACAGTTTAATTTAGTTGAGAAGCCTGTCTTCATTAAAGTTTCATCAGGAACATAGGCATTCAAGGCCTTACAAGTTCTTACCATAAACTTAACTTAGTTTTTCTTCTACAGAATTGACCCTGTTATTTAATTCAGTACTTAGAGCGAAAGAATTTGAGTGAAAAGGGAGATTATGCTTTCATAGTTTTATTGTTTAAAAGTTCTCTTTTTTGTTAATAAAAACAAAACATTCTTAATAAGAACATTTAGAAAATACAAAAGACTTAGGTGAGAGAGAACAAAGGGGGAAGTAGCAAGAGAGAAAGTGAGATAACAACGGCTTAAATAAAGGATTTTATTTTTTAACTGTGAAACAAAGCCATTGCAAGGTTTTATGTGACTTACATTATGTTTAAAAGGAGCATTTCACGGAAATGTGAAAATAGATTCTAGCGGAGAGTGGGGCAATGATAGAAGCAGGGCGACTTGTTTGGAGGCTACTGCAGCAAAACAGGTGGGAGTTGGTGAAGGCTTGGCCAGGACAGGAATAGTGGGGGTGATGAGAAGTTGGTTAGATTCTGGATATATGTTTGAAGGCAAAATTAATACAATTTACTAAAGGAATGGCTGTGGAATGTGAAAGTGCTGGAATGTGCCTGAAGGCTGGAGCGACCATCAGTTGAAATGGGAAAGGATATGGATGGGGAAGTAGGGATGGTTATTGGGGTAGTAGGGAGAGTCCAGAATTTGGTTTTGGATGCGGAAAGTAAACAGATGTATATGTGTGCAGTGCATATGTTATGGGAGTTTGTATGTATATGTGTTTGCATTATACATGAGTCTGGAGTTTGCAAGATAGGTCTGGACTTAGAGATATAATTTTGGGAGTTGTCAGCATACAGATGGAGTTAATTTTTAAACTACAGAACTAGATGAGGTCCTAAGGAAAGAAAGGTCAATAGAGCCTATAAACTGAGTGATTGTACATACTAATGAGGTAAATGCTGAAAAAGGTAACTAAATAAGAAAACTTCAGAAATGATAAGAACTGTGAGGGCACTAAAACAGGGTGATGTGATAGACTCTATAACAGAGTGTTAAATGTATGTTAGAGCATTTCATGGACCTGGGAAGAATGGCCATAGAAATGGATGCTACTTTTTTTGCTGATATGATTATATTACATAAAATGTGCTGGACGTAAATATACTATATCGGCTATGTTTTTTGTCCTTCTTCTGTCTTTTCTGTTTTCTTCAAATTTTCACTAATATTAATTTTTAAATAAAAAATGAAAAAGTTGTATACTATGTGAGTGGGAGTAAATTTCTGGCAGTTGATTGTAGTGGGTAAAAAAGTCAAGGGATTTTATTTAAGTTTAGGTTTTATATAATCAGACAGTGTGATAATGGTTGTTTAAACAGTCATAAACTACCGTGACCAGAATAAAATATGTCAATACAGGTCTGTAGTAAACCCATTATTCTGTATAAAATGGAAATGATGTGTTGGATCTTGAATTCCACATTTCAAAAGGGACATCAAAATGATAACAAATATGACTTAAAATAAATATTTCAAAGATTTGTTGATTAAAAAAAAGAAGGGGGACATCAGACAAACCAAACTGTAATAAGTTGAAAAAAGATGTTCTTTGGAGGCATTTGGGCTTTTTTTTTTTTTTTTTCTGTTAGAGGAGAGTATCTGAAGAAGTGGCATGAAAAGAAGTGAGATAGACTTTTTAAGAACTTTACCGAGGTATACTTTACCTATCATTAACCTATTGTAAGTGAGCAGTTTAATGATTTTTAGTAAATGTACTGAGTTGTGCAACCATGATCACAAGCTAGGTATAGAACATTTCCATCATGCCAATAAGATGCCTTGTGCTTATCTACAATTAATGCCTGTTAGGTTATTTTTATTACTATAGGCATGGATATGACTGTTGTGTGAAAGTTGTAGAGAAGCACATTAAATTTTTTCTTCTTCTTCGTAAAAAGAAGCTTAAGCCACATGGAGCAGGTCCTTGATTACGGACCATGGAGCTTAGGTACATGGCTTGGCCAGTTCATGCTGGGGCTCTCATCTTTTCCATTACTTGTGCATCATCTCTGTTTAACCAGTCTTCCTCCTCTTACTCTTCCTGATGTGGAGTGTAAAGCAAAAATCTCTTTTTTACTGTTTCCTTTCTTTGAATTTAATTACTCAGCTAGCCTGGTCTCAGACTATTTCTTCACTAATTTTTCCCACTGTAGCCTATTGAAGGAACCCTCACCACCTTTCTCGACAGCAAAGGAAAACTTTTTTCCCCTAAACTTCTATTTTACTTTCTCTCTTAATTTTTTTAAAGACTTTATCAGAGCAGATTTAGGTTCACAGCAAAATTAGGAAGAAGATACAGAGGTTTCCAGTATACCCTCATATATACCCACACATGCATAGCTTCCCCCATTATCTGCATACCTCACCAGCGTGGTACATTAGTTAAAATTGATGAACCTATAATGACACATCACAATCACTCAAAGTCTGTAGTTTCCCTTAGGATTCACTCTTGGTGTTTTGTATTCTATGGGTTTGGACACAGTATAAGGACATGTATACATTGTTATAATATTATTCAGAGTAGTTTCACTACCCTAAAATTCCTCTGTGCTCTGCCTATTCATCCCTCATTCCCCAAATCCTGCAAATCTTTCAACCACTGATCTCTTTACTGTTTCCATGTTTTGCTTTTTCCAGAATGTCATATGGGTGGAATCCTACAGTATGAGCCTTTTTAGATTAGCTTATTTCACTTAATAATATGCATTTAAGGTTATAACATGTCTTTTCATTGCATGATAGCTAATTTATTTTTAGTGCTGAGTAAACAGTCCATTGTATGGATGTACCACAGGTTATTTATCCGTTCACCTACTGAAGGACTTCTTGATTCCTCCCAATTTTGGTGATTGTGAGTAAACCTGCTATAAATATCCATGTGCAGGGTTATGTGTGAAAATAAGTATTCAACTCCTTTGGGTAAATACCAAAGAATGCAATTACTGGATTTTATGGTAAGAGTGTATTTAGTTTTTTGAGAAACCCCCAAACTGTCTTCCAGAGTGGCTATACCATTTTGCACTCCTACCAGAATGAATGAAAGTTCCTATTCTTCCACATCCTTGTCATCAGTTTGTGTTATCAGTGTTAGACTTTTGGCCATTCTAATCTGTGTGTTATGGTATCTCATTGTTTTCTTAATTTGCATTTTCCTGATGATATGTGTTAAGGAGAGACTTTCATATGCTTATTTGCCACCTATGTATCTTCTTTGCTTAAGTGTCTGTTAAGGTTTTTGGCTTATTTTTTAATCTGGTTGTTCATTTTCTTATTGTTGAATTTTAAGAGTTCTTTGTATATTTTGTATACGAGTCCTTTAGCAGATGTGTTTTTTGCAAAAGATTTTCTCCTAGTCTGTGACTTGTCTTCTCATTCATTTGGCCTTACCTTTTGCAGATCGTGTCTTTTATAGTAATGAGCTATAGATTATAAAGTATTTTTTTATTGATTATGTTTTTGATGTTGTATCTAACAAAGTCATCATCATCCTAATGTCATCTAGGTTTCCTCCTAAGTTATCTTCTAAGAGTTTTATTGTTTTATGTTTTACATTTAGGTCATATATCCAATTTGAATTATTCTTTCTGGAGGTATAAAGTCTGTGTCCAGATTCATTTTCTTTTTCATGTGGCTGTCCAGCTGTTTCATCACCATTTGTTGAAAGTCTGTCTTTGCTTCACTGTAGTGCTTTTTCTCCTTTGTCAAAGATCAGTTGACTGTATTCATGTCTGTCTGTTTCTAGGCTCTCTATTCTGTTCCACTGATCTATCTTTCTTTTGACAATACTAGACTGTCCTGATTACTATAGCTTTATAGTAAGTCTTGAAGTCAGATGGTATAATTTTTCCAACTTTGTACTTCTTAAGTATTGTGTTAGATACTGGGAGGTCTTTTGCCTCTATATATAAACTTTAGAACCAGTTTGTCAATAGCGATAAAATAACTAGCTGAGATTTTGACTGGGGTTGTATTGAATCTATAGATAAGTTGGGAAGAACAGACATCTTGATAATTTTGAGTCATTCTATCCATGAACATTATCTTTCTCCATTCATTTATTCTTTGAATTTGCTCATCAGCGTTTGTTTGTTTGTTTTCCTCTTATAGATCTTGTACATATTTTGTTCCATTTATATGTAAATATTTCATTTATGGTAGTGATAATGGAAATGGTATTGTGTTTTTAACTTATTCATTGCTGGTATATAGGGAAGTGAT